ATTTTCTGAAAATGTAATTATTTATATAAAATACACTTAATTCTCGAATTAAAGCATAATGACATCATGATGCGTAAAACGGATGATTATCGACATAGGACAGAGACATCAAGTCAACCAGTCTCGAAGAAGTTGAAGAATTGCCATAATTTGTTCACCATCAATTACACTAAGTTTTTCAAAATGCAACAATAGTTAGTTTTAGTATCAATATATCACAGAATCTCTTCGATTTACCGTCAACCCGACGTCACAAGTCAGTAAATACAAATCGTGCTGGCCAGTCAAAAAGTTCAAATGTGTTTTATAAATGCTTCGGAGGAAATCTTTATATTATGGAAACCTTTTCGGGCTTGTGTTTCAGACGTTTATGAGCAGTGAAGCGTATATGCGATAAATTTATTCTTTACTTAATTATACAAACAGTATGACATTTATAGTTATGTTATTGATTTAGTGAAGATTGTTTTATTAGAAATAAGAAGATGTAGTATGCTTGCCAATGAGACAACTCTCCACCAGAAACTAAATGACGTAGAAGGTAAGAAATATGCCTGTCCAAAGCCAGGATCCAGTTATCCAGTCTTCCCGCCGTCTGCAATAATTTGTTTTTCAATTGCTGTTTAGTTTTAAAACATGCCGTTTGAATATTTTTTTTGACGTTTTTTTTTTGTTTTACGTTTATCATTCCTGTGTCCTTTTTCTAACTATACTGCATGAGTTTTGCTGATTGTTGAAAGCCATACGATGACCTGTTATTGTTTAATCTTTGTCTTTTTATTTTTACCTTAAATGGGTAGTTGTCAACACAAATGTTTTGTATTGCTCCAAATAAAATCATTTTGACAAGTGTATTAAATGTGTTATTATTATGGTCACACCAACTTGATACTTTGTACACATATCCATTATGATGTGACATGTAACAAACGATGGTTTTAACACAGAATTTATGGTTCACCGAATATAGAAAAGTGATCGTGCTACCAAGTCATGGTGTTTCTTATTCTCGTGTTTTATCATTACCAATAAAGTCTCATTAAAAAAAAATGAATAACCACAGCTTTGAGATTAACTAAGGCTGAAGTATTATATCAATTGAATTCATGGATAAAGACTTTATTTAATAGCCAGCCATTAATTCTTAATAAGAATAATGTCAAAAAGTTAAACAAAGTTATATTTGTCAAAACAATCCTTTAATCTGAAAAGTTTAATTATATATTTTAATTAAGAAATTATAAATTCAGAAGTCATAGAAGCAATTTAATTTTAAAATTGTATTTCAAAGGGTTTGGTACATTGTAATTACAACAAAAAAAAAATCATTTTGATTCAAATAGCTTCGGTTAATGAAGCATCGGTATCATTTCTATTTCCTTGTAAAAAAAATTTCAATGATAAGATCGCTTTGATAAACCTGTTGTACCGGCGATTTCTTTTTCTTTATTCAATAACCAGGCATCAATTTGTAATAAAAGTTCAATAATGCGGATGGGAAAATCGGTTTATCAAAACAATCTATTCACCAGGAAAGTTTAAAAAAAATGTTTGATTGAGGAAATATAAACTTAGAATTTCTATATGCTATAGGTATGATAAATGGTGACAACGCGAAATGGTGAAAAGAAACAAAGGGGAAAAAAAAGAAAGCAAAACACAAAATGGTTTTAAGTTTCGCGTATATGTGTTTCACATGTACGTTTTAGCGTTTTCGATATATCTCGGTGAAACGCGAAATAGCCCCAATTAGTCACAATAGATAACTAATCACAAAGAAAAAAATAAACCATCCGTTGTCTTTGGTGAGGTTCATTTGGCTAAATATACAGTTTGCTGAATGTTGTGGTCTGTTCATCGTTTTAACTTGTGTTGTCTATTTTTTCTTTGTATGTTGTGTCGTCTATTATATCATTTGTTTGTGCGTTTCTCTGTGATGAATGTTCTTGCGTGTGTTTGTGCTGTCATGAAGTGTTGTAATTTTAGCGATATTTTTTAACATTGTCAAAAAGAGGGAGGTTTGGCTAGCCATAAAACCAGGTTCAACCCACTACTTTTTCTTAAAATATCCTGTACCAAGTCAGGAATATGGCAGTTGTTATCAAATAGTTCGTTTCTATGTATGTTGGCGTTTGTTTTTGTTGCACTTCAGTGTTCCTGTTGTTCCTTTGTTTTCCTCTTATAGTTGATGTGAGTCCCTCGGTTTTAGTTTGTAACCTGGATTTGTTTTTCCTCAATCGATTTATGACTTTTGAACACCGGTATACTACTGTTGAATTTATTTTTCTTCATCGTATGTCATATGTTTGTCTTTATGTTCTATCTTTCTTCATCGTGAGTCATGTTTATATAAAAATCATATGTAAGTTTGTTTATGTTCTATCTTTCCTGATCTTATGACATATATTGTATGCGTATGGTCTATCTTTCTTCAAGTTGCACTTCTGTAAATATAGACAATGGTATTTCATATAGGAACTCCTTTTACGGCTAAAATTGTACCACTTTTACTATGAAGCTTCGTAAAAAAATTTATCCTAGAATGGAAAGCTCATATGAACTACTTTTTCTTCAAAGGTCAAAAAATAAGTCTGTGCGGCATATTTTCAACATTTATATGACCCGAACTTCTAAGAGTTTAAACATATACTTAAATTTTGTTCTACCCCTCCCTTTACTTTGGGTCTTCCTCAAAATTCAATTTAGCCGCTATCCATGTGTATTTATACTGGTAACATTCCCAAGTTATGTGTCTACGAGATGAAACATAAAGATCATATTCGGGAACCAGTATGCAAACAAAACAAAATATCTATGAATATTATATATATCCCCAAAAGAGGCGTGGTTTGTGAAACAGCTGTATTTACAAAGTGCAACTATAGGTTGCACTTCTGTAAATATAGACAATGTAATTTCCCATAGGAACTCCTTTTACGGCTAAAACTGTACAACTTTTACTATGAAGTTTCGTAAAAATTATATCCTAGAATGGAAAGCTCATATGCACTACTATTTTTTTCAAAGGTCAAAAATAGGGCTATGCGGCATATTTTCAACATTTATATGACCCGAATTTCAAAAAGTTTAAACTTATACTAAAAATCTGTACTACCCCTCCTTTTACTTTGGGTATTCCTCAGAATTCAATTTAGCCGCTATCCATGTATATTTATACTGGTAACATTCCCAAGTTATGTCTCTACGAGATGAAACATAAAGATCATATCCGAGAACCAGTAGGTAAACAAAACAAAATATCTATGAATATCATATTTCTTACCAAAAGAGGCGTGGTTTGTGAAACAGCTGTATTTACAAAGTGCAACCTTCAACGTTAGTCATACATTTGTCTGTTTATATTCTATCTTTCTTCTTCGTATGTCATACGTTTGTCTGTTTATGTTCTATCTTTCTATCTTTCTTTATCGTATGTCATACGGTTGTCTGTTTATGTTCTACCGTTCTTCATCGTATGTCATACGTTTGTCTGTTTATGTTCTATCTTTCTTCGTCGTATGTCATACGATTGTCTGTTTAAGTTCTACCGTTCTTCATCGTATGTCAGACGTTTGTCTGCTTACTTTCTATCTTTCTTCATCGTATGTCATATTCTTATCTATTTATGTTCTACCGTTCTTCATCGTAAGTCATATGTTTGTCTATTTATTTTCTATCTTTCTTCAACGTATGTCATATGTTTGTCTGTCTATGTTCTAATTTTCCTGATCGTATGCCATTTATTTTCATTCATTTTATCTGTTTTTACAAAAGCATGTGAAATTTGCAATATTGTCTTCAGGAGCAGGGCAGAGAGTAATATATAACGTTAAATAACATTTTAAACAACGGTTGCCACATTTAGAACATGATCTGTTTACCTTTCAAGAACACTTAAGACTAGTTCGTATTTTGTCTTTTTGAGGAACCAAAGTGCAGAGTTTGTATAGCAATAGGAAACATATGGGATATAATTTTAGTGGCAAATGAAAATTTTGACTTTTAAGTATTCATTATTTGAAGATTAACAGAACTCAAACTGACTACAGTAAACGTTATATAAGCTATTATAATTTAAATTTTTTTTTCGCTTGTTATCATGTTTATAAAAAGCCTTGCTAATTTAGTTTTGAAAAATATCGAGAGTTTTGCCTAGATCAACAGTTTTCTTAATAAGCAGCTAAATGATACAACATGTCTTGTAATTAAATAAGAAAGTATATTTTTGTCAGACAATTGACAATAAATTAATACCGCATTTTTAAAGAAGTCCATTGCTGTTTTTATTTCAGGACAGCGAATCACATTCAGGGAAAGAATTTGTACTGGCATTTCCAAACGGCGTTCGACATGGTTATTTGCGTTTGTACATGTCAACATCGATAAATGAAACATTCTCTGTACACATCGAAACCCCATTACTTAGTCATACGAATATGAATGTGACCGTATCAAGTGGAGCAGAAACCGTCGTTGAAATTCCGTCAGATCTAACCGTTTCCGATACATCCAAAAGTGATAAGAGTATTCTTGTTCAGGCAGAAAATGTTATTGTATTATTCGCATCAAATATGCAGGCTGATAGCGGTGATTCCTTCATTGTATATCCCGTTGAAGTACTTAGCACTGAATACGTATCTGTTAATTTGAAATCAAAGGTTGTTGCATATCAGTCAATGAGTGCAATCATTGCTGTAAAGGACCAGACTATTGTACACCTTAGTTTACCTGTCGATTCTACCGTAAAGTATAATGGCGATACTTATACATTTGGAAGTCAGTTATCGGTCAATTTGACGAAATATGAAATATTTCAGTTTTCATCTAAGGATGATTTATCAGGTACAACTATATTGTCAAATTATCCAATAGCAGTTATCAGTGGTCATCAGCTTGGTAATCCATCAGTTAGTGTGTCTGCAACTATAGATATGATCCTTGAAATGCTCATTCCATGGAAGTATTGGTCAGCACATTATATTGCGATCAGTAACCCTGTATTTAACTCCGGATACGGCGAACTTATTCGTATTTTTACGCTGTGTGAGAATGCTACTGTCATGATTGACAAATCAGGAGTTCGTTCACAAATCCATGTTAGTCAAGCGTCTTTTTACGAATTACCTTTGTCTTTAGCCGAAGCAGCAGTTATTACCGCGGACAAACCCGTGCTCGTTTCGCAAGTATCATCTTCTCACCCTTATGCTGGTTCTAAGATAGGGGATCCCAGATCAGTTTTACCGGCACCAGTGGATTCCTGGCTGAACGAATATTCTTTTAGTACACCCGGAAGGTCTTACGGCGGAAGTTTTGATCATGGACTTGTTCTTGTAGCCTATAGTATGGCTCTCGATGAAATAACTTTAGACAACGAGAGTCTAGAGCCATCCCTCGTCTGGTATGAAATCGCCGATACAAATCTAAATTATACAGTCTTACCGCTATCTCAAGGAGCTCATACGTTGAAATGCATTGGAAATTTAAAATGTTGGGGATATGTTTTTGGAATCGGTGTGTACGAAGAATATGGTACATCTATTGGCAGGAGTTTTATAAAAGTAAAATGATTTGAAATTAAAATCTTATTTTATAATCATATTCGGTAAATGTATGTTGTTTGCGAATAAATTTTAATTTAAATGTAACTATAAACATTTCTAGATCTATAAAATTGCATGTGTTATACCAGAAAAATGTGACTTGTTATTTAGAGTTTTGTAAGCCTGGTATATATGGTGAGTTTATTATCAACTTAGCACAAAAACATTGCTTTAAACACCCACTTTGACTTGCAATGCGAAAGTTCCAATTTTGGAGCAGAATGTAAATTGTACTTTGGGTTAGTAATGATAGATTGAAGAGATTTATTTTCCAAACGATATTGTAATTTTGAATGTTTGTTTTTCATGTTTTTGTATGTGTTTTTTTCCGTAGGCAGCGCTTAGCTTGTTTTCTTGTTTTCTTTTTTTTTTGTAGTTTCTTTCTATGAATTGGTTTATCTCCCCAGATAAACGCAATTTACCGTTTTAAAGTTATCTGTATATTTTTCAAATGATAGTCAAATTAAGGCCTTTTTTTAGTTTTGATATTTGGACAAAAGAATTATAATGAATTAGTCGGTGTTCTTCTCTTCATTTATAAGAATCATGTCCTTTTCAGTAAAACAGTTATATCATAAAGTGGTTATACTAAAACTGCATGTATAGAAATAAAGACGTCTAAATTGTATGAATTTGTAATGATCAATAAAGAAAATATTAACGTCATAAGTATACGACGTAAGATTAAAAAAAATACCGCGTCACGGTACTGTATACTTATGCGTGTGATTTGCAACAAATTCAGCCTTTTTGTTGTTTTGTACGTTTTCCAAAGTTATATTTCATAAAATATGTATAGTACACAAAATGAAGAACTTAAACGATGTAACAATTAAATAGAAATGATAGATGAAACAATAAAAAAAAAAAATAATAAAAAACGAAACGTCGAATTTGATGTTAACACATTGTTTTATTTACAGAAAAAGACAACTGATGCAAACAGTATGGGTAGGTACATACCTTAAACAATTTAGACAACACAAAATTCGTTCAACTATATTGATTAAAGGGTATACGGAAAATAATCTTTTATTGTAGAAGATCAAAATATTTCGGAACAACAAACGACCTTCGTCAATTACGTTTTTTTCTCTTCTTCAAATATTAATAATGCATTCTGAAATTCTTTGTAGTCCTTCGTACAAGATGAAAGTACTATTAATTTAAATTATTTTTTCTTTCTAATTGTTGCAATTCATCACTGTAGTTGATAAGTAAAAATAATGAATATGTCTATATATATATATATATATATTGAGCCTTAGGAAAACGACAAACCAACAAATTCAATAGGTATCGGATCGTGTAAACTACAATTCTGCACAATTAGAAAAAAATATACAAGTCTAAAGATTTGTTCAACGATACTGATGAAAAACATATTCGAATTCTAATCCTTACTCGTGAACAAACAAATGTCAAAATTGAAGGTGTGTGTGTGTACTTATACATCCAAAAGTATCAAAATGAAATTAAACATGAAAAATTTATATATGCATCCAATACTACCATTGAAGAATACAACTTGAAAAATCCAACTATTTTTTATTGTAAGTTTAATCTGGATGAAAGACATTTAGTTTGTTTTTCCAAAATTTTTCCTGATCCATTCTTATGTATAAATACTTTTTTGGTCCCATTGGTATGCTTTTCCTCTTCTCTTTAACCACCGAACAAATGAATCCAAACTTGTATATAAGATCCTTTGAACGTCCTCAATAAGTTTTGTTTCTTTGATGCCGAACGGATTTCTCGCAGCTAATAGATAATTTTACATTGAATCCTTATTGAAAAATACAATTTTTCATGAATAGATGGCAAACCTTGCATAAAAGTTTTTTCTAAGGTACTGACCAAGATTTGTTATTTTTTTCCTGATAAAAATCCAATTTGACTTATGTACCAAAAGAGGTCTAAATGGTAAAGCGTTCAAATAAATCTAAAAACCAACAGAAGCAATTGAAACCTATTTTGAAAACTATGTTTACGGGAAGCCTTTAAGCAAGTGTAGTAACTTTGAAGCTGATTGGAAATAAACAAAAATAGTTCTAAAGATCTCTTGGAAGGTATAGTTATTTCGAGGAAATAGTCAAACCTTAAAAAAGCCAGTTAAATTCATTAAAACTTATATTTTCAGGAAAAATAATCATTGAATTGGATGTAATAGACGACCAAATACTGTTGACAACACCAGTTTTCACTTACATTGCAAAGTCTCGCACTGAATGCGGCAAGATGTGTTTATTGTATTCGTGTTCTTTTCTGTCCTTTCGGTCTACAGATGGAGTATGCTATCTTTATACAGAGGATCAAACATGTAGTCCAAAGGAAGTGTCCAATGATTTCAGACGTTATCATCTTAGAAAATAGTGAATTCTTTATAATTATAATGGTATAAATCTTAACATTTTTATTTCTACAGTTTACCAATCTAGTGAGCATAATCTCTTTTAGAGATATATTAGTTTTATCAGTATTTGAAAAATATATTTATAGGATGTGTTTTTTCTTCCTCGTAGATTTTACTAGATTTTTATTATTTTTCAAACGGACTAGACATGAATGTCCCGGACAGATGAGTAGTTGCTTATAAGGTCTTTCATACTTTTTTTTCTAAAACATCCCATAAAAAATACCAGGCTTATTATTTGGTACACAAGACACACGTCGAATGAAACACGATATGGAAAACCAGAATGAATAGCATATAGATAGAATGTCACTGACTTAATTTAGACTTAGAATAAAGCCTAAAAGATAGTTTCGGTCAGTAATGTTAGCGTGTCATTAGAATTTTTTAGTAAGTTTCCCTTGCTTTGTAATTTATGCACGCATGGATTTTGATTCCAAAATGATGACCTAGGACACAAAAAAAGAAATTGAATACCAATTTTTACTTATTCTACATTTCTTTCTTACTTTCATGTAGAAAAGAAGGAAATCAAATCAATGATGTTCTTTTGAACTGTAAAGTCAATGTACATGTAAATGTATCAATCTATAAATCTTTAATCAATCAATCTTTGTCATGTTGTGGTTTATATGCTTACTTATATTTAGATTCAGTTATAACATATTACTTATTAAATATAAGATTGCTGATGATTTGTTTTTTAATTAGTTTTATCATAACAACATGTTAAAAGTTAAAATTTTTAATATGAATGTGTCAATGTCAATGACAACCAAAGTTGAATACAATTAAACAGCGTCATTGAGTGACATGTCACTTCTATCAAAATACGCCGAAGAAACATGTCTATTCATTAGGCATCGGGCATTGGTAAATATCTTTCTTATCTAACCCTATAAGAACAAATTAATTTATAAACCACTTAGCGTGTGATTTATCCAATCCTTATCCAGTCCTTATACTTGAAGAACGTTGACAACCGTAATCGAAAAAAGATGGTTTGGCTTTTGATTCAGTGGAGTTTTCTGTGTCATTGACATTGACACATTCATATTAATATGATAAAACTAATTGAAAATCAAGTGGTGAAGTTGAAATCATCCCTTTGTAAATTTCACAAATTAGGATATTGATGCGGCTATAAAATAACACCTCTTGATGTGGTTTTCGTGAAAGCATTTATGTCATAAGTAAAATAGGCATCTACTTCTCCACTTATGGTACCAATCGTGTGTGTTTATGCAAGTAAAAAATGATAATTCGCATACGGTTATGTCACTATCGATTTTGGATTGTGCAGAAGCTACATATGATGATACCAGTATAATATTTTTTTATTGTGTAACGGAGTTTTCTTTCATATATTTCTATCGAAGGCCATAATATCCACACCGTATATTTTTGAATATTTAAATTAGTTTGATTAACCGACACAAGTTGTAGTTTGTTTATATTTATTTCCCAGAAAAAATGTTGCAAGTATCAAATATAGGTCACATGACCTTCGGTTTTTTGTCACGGTTACAAGCTAACAACCATTTGTCAATTTGTTTTCTTCAACTCTAGTGATTTTTATTGTTATATAGCAGCCATTTTGTTGGATTCAGTAACATGGTGATCTAACTGTGGTCACAGAAGTGACGCTTCATTAACCGAGAGTGGCTATTTTACTTGTTTCCTAACATGATGTATCTCAAACTTTACAATTAGATATCAAAAGCTTGAGTATAGTATTATATGCTAAAGATAAACGTGTTTATACACTTAATCATGAATGTGATTGAATGCTTCTGGTCCTACTTTCTGTCGATACTAATAACTCGGTATTAAATTCTAATTCGTAAACTCAAACGAACATAAAATATTTATCAAATAACCACAAACTCTTACATGGGAGACGCCACTTGCAGAGACAAGAGAACATTTTATTATAAATATGAGTATAATATTGTGGAAAGTTCATATAAATACACAGGTATTAAGCAGCTTGTACATGTACTGGTTTCCCCATACTAGTGGTCTACAAATCTGAAAATAAATAATATAATTAATAATATTATTTATTAGGCAAAATGCTACTGTACACTTTGGCTGCAATGGTTCGAATGACTTTAAACCACCTGAGTTCACTCATGCATGAACTCAATATCCCAATCGAACCGACCTTACTATAATTAACCAAACACTTGTCAACTATAAATTAACAACATTTTTACATGTTCGATTTTTGTACAACTTTGATAAATACATTTAAATTCTAATTCGTAAACTCAAACGAACATAAAATATTTATCAAATAACCACAAACTCTTACATGGGAGACGCCACTTGCAGAGACAAGTGCGCTCGAAACACAAAGAACGGGAACATAGCATTGAATATTTATTTGAATTCCTAAATTTTGATAAACAGATAACTGTGCTTTAAAGTCTTCTCTAACGTAACCATCCTTTCCTCTGTCCCATTTTAACCAGTTATGATTCAGAAAAATCCTATCAGAAATACAGGCGTTAGCACTGGCTCTTGTATATCAAGGTGTATGTCAGCATCTTTAATATAGCTATTTAAAGAAGTTTATTTTGTTAAATAATATACCAATATGCATGTCTGAAGTTCAGCCTAATAGCTTCAATAACAATCAGTATTGTCTAAATATTCGCCCTAGTGACTTTAATAACAACATGCTTAGTTACTTTAATAATAAACAGCCCAGTGGCTTCATCAACAACCACCCGCCCGTTTTCTGTAATAACAAACCTGTCCAGTGTTTTCAACAGCAACCAGCACAGTGTCTTCAATAACAACCTACCCAGTGTCTTCAAAAACAACCAGCCAAGTGCCATTAAAAACAAAATGTCAAGTGTTTTCAACGACAACCATCCCAGTGTCTTTAATAACAAACCTACCCAGTGGCTTATACAAAAACAGGCCCAGTGTCTTCAACAAACCAGCCCAAAATTTTCAACAACAACCAGCTCAGTGTCTTCAATAACAACAAGTCCAGTGTCTTCAATAACAACCTGCCCAATGTCTTCAACAACCAGCACAGTGTCTTCAATAACAACATGCCTAGAGGCTTCAACAACAACCTACCGAGTGTCTTCAACAACAACCTGCCCATAGTTTCCAACAATAAAATGCCCAGTGTCTTTGACAACAACCTGCCCAGTGTCTTGAATAACTACCAGCCAAGTGTCTGCAATAACAACCTGCTCAGTGGCTTAATTCATTAACAAACAGCCAAGTCACTGCAAGCGTCTTCAACATCTACTAGCCCAGTGTCCTCAACACCCAGCCCAGTGTCTTCAACAACAACCAGCCCAGAGTCTTCAAAAACTACAAGCCCAGTATCTTAAAAAAACAACATGCCCGGCTTCGCCAATAACAAAATGCCCAGTGGCGTCAATAACAACATGCCCAGTAGCGTCAATAACTAACTATTAGCCCGATGGCTTAATTAAATACGATATGCCAAGTGGCTTCAATAACAATCAGTCAAGTGTTTTTCACAACATACTTTTCACTGGTGTCAATAACAACATGCTCAGTGTCTTCACTAACAACCTGCCCAGTGGCTTTACAAACAACCTGCAATGTGGCTTCAATACCAACTTGCCCAGTGGCATTAATAACATGCCCAGTGGCTAAAATAACTATCAGCCTATAACTTAAATTACGCATGTCCAGTTTTTTTTTTTTTTTTTTTTTTTTTAATTACGCATGTCTAGTGGCTTCAGTAACATCCTGCCCATTGGCACTAATAAAAAACTCTGCCCAATTGCGTCAATAATAACATGCCCAGTGGCTTAATTAACTATCAGCCCAGTGGCTTTAATTACAACTGGCCCAGTGTCTTCAAAAACACACCCAGTGGCTTCAACAACCTGCCTGTCCATTGGCGTCAATAACAACCAGCCAAGTGTCTTCAACAATAAACTGCTCAATGCTTTACAAGCAACCTGTCCAATGGCTTCAATAACAACACGCCCAGTTGCGTCTATAACAACCTGCCTCATGGCGTCAATTACAACATGCCCAGTGGCTTAACAAACAACCTGCCCAGTGGCGTCTACAACAACCTGCCCAGTGGCGTCAATAAACAACCTGCCCAGTGGCGTCAATAACAACCTGCCCAGTGGCGTCAATAACAACCTGCCCAGTGGTTTCAATAACAACACGCACAGTGGCGTCTATAACAACCTGCTCAATGACGTCTATAACAATCTGCCCAGTGGCGTCAATAACAACCTGCCCAGAGGCTTTACAAATAAATACGCCCAATGGCGTCAATAACAACACGCCCAGTGGCGTCAATAACAACATGCCCAGTGGCTTCAATAACAACACGCCCAGTGGCTTCAATAACAACACGCCTAATGGCGTCTATAACAACCTGCCCAGTGGCATCAATAACAACCTGCCTAGTGGCGTCTATCACAACCTGCCCAGTGGCGTCAATAACAACCTGCCCAGTGGCTTTACAAACAAACACGCCCAGTGGCGTCAAAAACAACAACATGCCCAGTGGCGTCTGTAATAACATGCCCAGTGGCTTAAATAACTACCAGCCCATGGCTTAAATTACGACATGCCCATTGGCATTAATAATAATCTGCCCAGTGGTGTCAATAACAACATGCCCAGTGGCGTCAATAACATGCCCTGTGGCTCAATTAACTATCAGCTCAGTGGCTTAAATTACAACTTGCCCAGTTTTCAATAACAACACGCCCAGTGGCTTCAACAACCTGCTCAGTTGCGTCAACAACAACCAGTCCAGTGGCTTCAACAACAACGTGCCCTTTAGCTTCAATAACAACATGCCCAGCGGTTTAAATAACTATTAGCCAAGTGGCTTTAATTACGACATGCCCAGTGGCTTCATTGACAACTAGTCCAGCGGCTTTAATAACAACCATCCAGTGACTTCAAAAACAACCTGTCCAGTGGATTTAATGATAAACAGCCCAGAGGCTTAATATAACTACCAGTCCAGTGCCTTCAATAACAACCATTCCAGTGGCTTCAATAACAACCTTTCCAGTGACTTCAATAACAACCATTCCAGTGACTTAAATAACAACCTTTCCAGTGACTTCAATAACAACCATTCCAGTGACTTAAATAACAACCTTTCCCGTGACTTCAATAACAACATGTCCAGTGGATTTAATGCCCATAGGATTAATATAATATCAGTATAGTGCCGTCAATACAGCATGTCCAGTGCCTTCAATAACAACCAGTCCAGTGGCTTCAATAACAACCTGTCTAGTGTATTAAATGATAACAGCCCTAAGGCTTAAATAACTATCAGTCCAGCGCCTTCAATTACAACATGCCCATTGGCATCAATGACAACCAGTCCAATGGCTTCAATAACAACAAGTCTAGTGACTTTAATAACAATAGTCAAGTGGCTTCAATAACAATCAGTACATATGTTTCAATAATAACCAGTCAACGGCTTCAATAAAATCAGCACAGTGGCTTCAATGACAACCAGTCACTTAGTATCAAGACAACCAGTCAGGAGCACGTGGTTTCAAAATTT